CCCTCTGGGCCTCGTGAGGGGTGTTCTGAGGCCATGGAGGGCCTCCCTGGAAATCCTGGGGGCACCTTGGGCCAGGGGCACTTCTAGCAACATCCGACCAGCATGCTGAGATCACCCCAGCAGAGCGCCCTCGAGCAGGGTATCGACTACGTAGTCGACTTGCCCAAACGCTGATGTCCAGCCGAATCTACGAAACCTGCGCAGCATGCTCCGTAGGTCGACCGAATATTCCACAGATGCTCCTCATGGGCTCGGCGAGAAAATCGACTTTGGGATACAGTCAAAACGTATATTAAGGACGGGTGATAAGGACGCAAGACCCTTGGAGGCCGAACTTGGGTTTTTTTAGGGCGGCGGGCGACCAGTGATAATGGCAAGGACGGGCCTCAGAGGCAAGGACACAAGGGTACCCTAGATGAAGGCGCGCGTCCTTACTAGGCACGTTGACTGTACATCAACTCTGTAGTCGACCCCCTGCCCGAGCCACAACAGCACAGGTGACGAGGCGGGTCGAGGAACAGGGGGGCCCTGTACACAGAGTTCTCCAGGACGGTGTCCGAGCAGATGGGTTCGGAGGATCGCGCCGCACCGCCGACGCATCGGCGACGCTGGAGGCGCATCGGCGACGTCGGCGTGGATAACATCGGGCTCCGCCTCGAGCCGCATCGCCGATGCATCGGCGGTGCGGCGCATTCCTCCGGCCCCATCTGCTCGGACCCCATCTGGGAGGCCTAGAGGCAGGACCAGCACTCGGAGGAGGAACAGATCGTCCTGGAGAGCCCTCGCCTCCACGGCTGGAGTCTCCTCGAGGCAGAGTGCACCCCAAGGAGAGGTCCAAGGAGTGGCGGCAAGGGTCCCCTTCTGCTTCCTGGGAAGGCCTCGGGCTGCGCAGAGGCAGCCCTCCCAGGTGGTCCCGGCTGGCCTCCACAGGCCCCCCGAGTAGTTCCCGCTGGCCTCGGCAGGCCCCTGAGTGGCTTCAGGTCGGGCACGCCCTCCTGCAGGCGGATTTGGGACGAAACATAAAACAGATCCCAAAACATACAGGAGCATACCCAAAACAAGAATCAAACCATCGCCTGCAGACTGTTTTGAGAGGCCCCAGGGGAGCCCAAGACGCCGCCAAGGAGCCCCAAGACGCTCCCAAGAAGCCCCCAAGAGGCCCCCAAGACGGCCCCAAGAGGCCCCAAATAGCGCTCCAGGGCCGGCGGAATGGGCGAAGCGATTAAAGAATCAAACAATCGTCTGCAGTTTTGTTTAGTTATTTGTTTGGTATTCCTCCTACAGAGGGGCACGCCCGACCGAAGAGTAGCCAAGCACCTCAAAAGCCCGGGGGCGCAGGGCGCCTCGAAGGGGCGCTGCCTGTGCGCAGCCCGGAGCCTCGCTGGGACCAGAGGCAGGGGCCTTCGCAGGGGTCCCGCAGTGTGTTTCCGAGAGGACAGAGGACCGAGGGGGAGGAGGAGGGGGAGGAGGAGGAGGGGGAGGGGGAGGCAGAGGCGGAGGCGGAGGCGGAGGCAGGAGGAGGAGGAGGAGGAGGAGGAGGAGGAGGAGGAGGAGGAGGAGGAGGAGGAGGAGGAGGAGGGGAGGAGGAGGAGGAGGAGAGGAGGAGGAGGAGGAGGAGGAGGAGGAGGAGGAGGGAGGAGGAGGAGGAGGAGGGGGAGGAGGAGGAGGAGGAGGAGGAGGAGGAGGAGGGGGAGGAGGACAAACTAGGTGCGCTCGCGTCATATCTGACGTCCTACCCCTGCCTCCCATACCTTACCTTGGCGCTGATTGCCTAGGCGATGCTCGGGCGGCGCACGCTTTCACCAGGTTGCCTGCTGCGGCCGAGGTGGGGCGCGCCACGAGGCGCGGGCAGCCCGTGCCAGCTGGCGGGCCGCGAGCTCCAGGAAGGGGGCCGAGGTCTGGACGTGCCGCGGCGAGGCTGCACTGGTGAAACCTCCTGGCTTCGGCGGCTGGGATGAGCTGCCGAGGATGGGGGTCGACCGCCTCCGCCAGGCCGCGCTCCGCTCCAAAGAGAAGACCGCCGTCGGCCAAGGGGGCATCGCCTCGCGGGCCACGCAGCAGCTCCGCG